GTGTGTGTGTTTATAACGTGTCCTCCGTTGGTTTGTCCTCTGACGGCTCCCGTACAGACCGTCAACATCGGCTTTCTCTCCTCACCTGTCTGTCTCTCTCTCTCTCCTCATCAACTCTGTGTGAGTGACGTGAACAATTCAGTATTTTCTGAATTCAGTTCATAAATATTATTTTAAACCGTTAAAGTATGTTGACTGACGAGTCCATCAATGTATTGATTGATTGATGTATTGATTGATTAATTGATGTATTGATTGACTTCCAGGTGAACCGGTTGGGGATCGTTGCTGTCAGTGAGTACATTTCAATATTTTTAAACTGAATCCACTATGATGCTGCTGAGAGCTCTGCTCTCTGATTGGCTGCTGTGTTGTGATGTAACGTGGTGGTTTCCTAGGTAACAGCCTGTCTGATGACATCAGCTGTGTGGCAGCAGACAGGATGTTGGTGTTCGCCGCCGCCGGGCGACTCATCAGCGCCTTCGCCCGCAACAAGGAGGTCAAAAACTTTATTTAAAAACATAATTCAACAAACAATAACAAAAATAAAAATGAGTATTTTGAGCCACTCTCCGTACAGGTGGTGATGCGTTACCATGGACACAAACAGGAAGTGCGTCTGCTGCTTCCTCTGGGTGATCAGCTGATCTCGGCTGATGGCTGCGGTGATGTCATCGTGTGGGATGTTCAGGAAGGAGGTAAGGGGGCGGGGCTTCACGTGTTCTCTCCAGTTTCCTTCTTTTGCCCCTTATTGTTACCCATCATGCCTCTCTCTCTCTCTCTCTCTCTCTCTCTCTCTCTCTCTCTCTCTCTCACACTCACTCACTCACTCAGACATCTACCTGCGGCTGCAGTTCGACTCCGCCACCTTCGATGTGTCGGCCATGATGCACCCCAGCACCTACCTGAACAAGGTGCTGCTGGGAAGCTCCCAGGGTGCACTGCAGCTCTGGAACATCAAGACCAGGTGAGCATGTTAGCATCCGGGCTAACGGCTCTCTCAGCTTTTATTGTGAAACACCTGAAGGGTAAAAAATTAAAAAACGGTAATAGTACTACAGTTGTACTCTCAACTGTACTGTACAGTAGTACAGTGGTGGTAGTACTCTTAAGACTCGTGGCAGTATATACAGTAGTAGCATTATCATATAAAGTAGAAGACTAGCAGAAGTAGTATTTGCAGTAGTACTATCAGAGGTGTCAGTGTTACTGTTGTAGAAGTACTCAGTGTTAGTATCAGTACTCTCAGTAGTACCTCTCTTTCTCCAGCTCCTCCAGGAATTTAATGTGTATTAGTACAACAAGACAGTGGTGGGCCTTCAAAGCCTTCTCTGCTGGCCTAAACAGAATCATAAAGTTATATTTATTTTATAATTTAATAATTGTTCTTAAATACACTACATGTATTATAATTTATATAAATATTTGTCCCATTGTCTTATGTTCTCATTGCACAGCTACTGTCTTCCTCAGTTGCTGTGCTTCCAGTGCAGCTTGTTTTAAGTAGAGCTTTTATCCAATCAGATTTCACCTCTGTGTCTCTAGGTAAGAACAGAGGCAGAGGCCTGCAGACTCACAAGTGCATCCATGAGCACTTTAAGTGAATGGGGACAATATTGTTGATTGGCATAGTGTTCAACCAATCAGATCTTTAGTTTGACATGTTGGGCGTATTCTTTGACGTGTCAGCAACTGCTAGCTGGCCTGTAGCTACGTCAGCATTACGTGCAGCTCAGTGTCCATGTGTAGCTCTGCCGCGAGGTACAGAGTGTGCTGTGATTGGTCAGTGGGCGAGCACGTGACTATCGTGAAACGAAACTTCACAGCAGAGGCTGATGGGTAGTGAATCACATCACGTGATGCAGCTCAGCCAATCAAATATGGGCATTCTGACTGAGATGCACCATGACACGGGGGGCTGAGATGAGGAAAGACACTGCAGAGCAGTATGTTGAAGTTGTGAAAGTAAAATCATAAGACGATCTCTTTGGGTCGCGGCTTGTCATGAAGGAATGATGGAGGATCCCACAGCCAGACCAGCTGAGAACCACTGTCCTCCATGAGCGCAGAAAATATTATATTTTACTGAATTTAAGCTTCTGTATTATCCAAATGCAAATGCTCGAGCAACGGTTTAATAGGAAGATGTATGTAGTTACAGCCTTAAAAATGAATAATAGCTGTGGCGCCATCATGTGGTTATAAGGTGGTATTTCAGCTGCAGGACAACAGAGAAGGCCCAGGTATAACATGCACGGCCCGCCACTGATTTTCACAACTATCATTACTTGACGCTGTCGATCACTTTGTACAACAAGCAGAAGGAGAGTTTGAACACAAAGTTTGTTTGTTTGTCACTGGATCCGCAGATCATTTACAAGCAGCACGTCCGCAGGTTAGTCTCCCCTACTCAGCCTCTCCATAGTTACCTACAGATACTGTAAATACTGCTAAAAATACTACATTAAATGCTAAAAAATACTGCTGAATACTACATTAAATACTACATTAAATACTACATTTATCAGAGAGCTTTAGCTACATTTCAAACTAACAGAACACATTTTACACATTAAAAACCCAAAACGTAAATGAAGTAGTTAACTACATTAAAGTACTACTGACATACTAATACACCAGTAATAATTATCCCATAATATTCTGCATTATGAGTGTACATTCTGTTGCTCATACTTTTACATGATATTACAGTTACAGTTAATTATTTAAATGTATTTGTTAAAGATTCGTCTGTGAAAAGACTAAAACTAAAAAGTAGCTGAAGTGTCATCAAACGTTATTTAGAGGAAATCAGAATAAAAAGCTCCTGAATATTTAAACACTTCATCAGTGTTTATAGATTATTAGATTCCTCTGGTCGTTCCCGTCCGTGCTCATTAGAAAGAAGAAGAAGAAGAAGAAGAAGTTTCTCTGGAGGACCAGAGCTATAAAGACAGAAGGAACCAGAAGGAACCAGAAGGGTTCTGGTGGGACCACAGAGCCCAGTATCAGACCTGCGGGCCAGGTATCCTCGGCCGTATCTCTGCAGAGTGACGGCCATCTTGCGAATCTTTCGGTATCGAACCCTCTGCAGCCACCCGCGCACCGTCTTCTGGATCTTGATGCAGGCCGAGCGGAACCTGTCGGCCCGGAGCCTCTCCAGGTACGCCACCTGACCCGCCCGGAAGAAGATCTTAGTCCTCCCGAACTGGAACATGTCCGGCTCCTGAGACACGACGGGGGGGAATGATGTCACCGGTGATGTCACGATCAGAGGCGATGATGAGTGACCTTCATCACTCATATCATTCATTAGTAAACAAGGTTCTGACCTTGATCAGGGTCTCCAGCAGGTTCTTACAGACCAGCTTCTTGTCAGCGGACGTCATGTCGGACTTCTTCAGCAGAACTCGGTACCTGTTGAAGAAGTCAGGGTACGTCCACCTGGAGAACCACGAGACACGATTCTGTTATTACATATGAATCTTTATTCAAACAACTCACAGAGAACGTTTACCTGATAGAACTCAAGAAGTACAAGAAGAAGAACAAGAACAAGAAGAACAAGAAGAATTCAAACAAACAAGAACAATGAAGAAAACTAGAAAAAGACAAGAAGATGAAGAACAACAACAATAACAAGAAGAAGATGAAGAACAAGAACAAGAAGACGAAGAGGAAGAGGACTCACCTGGACGGGTACCCGGCTGCACTGATCCGGATCGTCTCTAGGACTCCACAAGCTCTGAGCTGCTGAACCGCTCGTCTGGAATCAAACCTGCAGAGACAAGAAGTACTTCACTTCATCTTCATCACTTCATCTTCATCACTTCACTTCACCTTTATCACTTCACTTCACCTTCATCACTACACTTCATCTTCATCACTACACTTCATCTTCATCACTACACTTCATCTTCATCACTTCACTTCGCTTCACTTTCATCACTTCATCTTCATCACTTCACCTTCATCACTTCACTTCATCTTCATCACTTCACCTTCATCACTACACTTCATCAC